TCTGTAGCTTTTAATCATTTTTAACTCCATTTTCACTGGAAATTAATAAATGAAGGGTTGTATCTGACTAAGTTTACGACAGTTGTCATGAAAGGCTCATGTGGGTGTCGTAGCCTTACAAACGCTGCCTTTTTAGAGTTTGTTACCAAAAGTTTTCAGCATCTGTTCAAAAGGCGTTGGCGGAAAAATTTCTTCTAATTTTAATAGCAGTCCAGTCATAAACTTGAAAGCTTTCCACTGGTTTCAGAGCGTCGAGTTCCACAGAACAAAGTCTCTCTGATGCGATCCTCCTAGTTGGAGCTTTAATGAAATGCCTTTATTTGGTCTGCATGACTGAAATTACAGACCATGACTTGGGTAATGGCCTAACCGTCGCAATTAGCGGTTATCACAGCCTGGGGGCCGACATCCTATTATGAGAATAATTAGGGTGAATCTAATATCTGAGCTGGATGGCTCGACGTGTCGTCTCTAAGCCAAGAGTAACAAAGACGTGAGTTAATTTTCTAACCTGTGCGAGCTTCTGCAGTGGTATTTCCGTGCTTTTTGCATCACATGGTAATCTGATATAGAATAGATGTTATCATTGTTGAGGTGCCAAAGCCATACCAAACACAAAGGTGCACGGTTTTTGTCCTTGGTTGCTTCTTTCGGATCCTTTGCGACAATCGCGTTCAGCACTTGAAATCTCTCGGAACTGCTTAAAATTCAATTTCCTTACTTTGTCAGTACATTATTTTAGTTTGGGAGCCTTGAAAGCCGAGCAAAAAGTCTTTACAGCCTCTTCTTTGTCAACTTTATTCAAAACATCCTCCTAAAGCGGCGCTTTTACGAAAATGACACTGGAAAAGGAAAGAAAGAGCTCACTCTGTCAAAACTAAAGCTGGAGAGGAACAGACTAAAGAGAGGAAAAAAGAGGAGGGAAGCAGAAAAAAGGAAAATGCTTTTTTCATAATGCATCAGAGAGCTGTAGGCGCTGACGCAGCAGTGCAGGTTCTTGTACGTATTCCAGCGCAGTCCGTTTCATATACCAGCATCAACAGCTGTCAAAGCTTCAGACAGAATGGAGGAAAAAAAAAAGAGAAGAGATTTCCATCTGTTGAAGTCCCTCGATTTGTCAGTCTTTCATTTGTGCACTTCATGTATTCAGGGATGAATTGGGCAACCACTTTAAGAGAACATCCTACTAGCAAAACAAAGGGAATTGGACAGCCAAAGGGACGCTGATGGAATCCTAAACCAAGAATAGTGCAGGAATGCTACCCAGAGCTCTGTATACATGGGTCAAAGTGGGTCAAAAGTTTGCACATATTTAACTGCATGTATTTTTTCCATACTCTTATAAGACTAAGGCTGGCCCAAACAGCATTTCATAAGCTCTAAATACTATCGTGTTTCAGAATGAGTGCTTAAATACTACTGAGAGGAATTCAGGCCAAAATGAAAAGCAATCACGTACACAAAAACGTGAACTGCAATGCACACAACATTAAATTTCCACTGGTGACATACAGAATATGTGCCAAAATGAAAAAGAACAAAACCCATATAACATCGCTTGACCTCTAAACTGCAAAACACCGCATGCAGAATTGCATTTTACAAACGAAATGCTGAATTCATGATTTGAATTCAATCCACTTTGAAATGTAACGAATGCACGACTATACTGCTTTCCATTACGCAGTACTTTAAACAGATTTTCCTCATTGAAATGCAAGCATAGCAGTGAAAACAGTGCAATGCAGTGCACACGTGGCATTACTTTTTTTCACAGGTGACGTGCAGAATATATGCCAAAATGAAAAGCAAAACCCCCACTACACTGTTTTCACACTGATTGTCTACTTTTTTGTACCTCAGATGTATCTGCTTCATTAAAGTGCAACCAAAAAAGATCAATTACATTGATTTTACATTGTTTAAAGTACTGCAGAGTGGAAAGCAATATAGTTGTGCCTTTATTACATTCAAATTCAGACTGTATTCAATTTTCATACCAATTCAACACTTAGCTCAAAATGCAAATCCTCACGCATTGCTTTTCAGGAAAGAACGTATTTTGCCACGTATTATGCATGTCACTACGGAAAAGTAATGTTGTGCATTGCATTTCACGTTTTTCAGTAGGCATGAATTCCTCTCATTTACATAATACTCATTTTCACACTTAAAAACATTTATGCTTCAAAATATAACCAGTACACGGCAACAATGTGTAAATAGTCAGGCTGAAGCCCAGCCGTTGTGCTATATGCTGCTATATTGTAGCTATATTGTAGTCCTCTCGCTAAATTACAGTTTTATCAGTCATGTAGATGCTAAAGGTGTTAGAATTATCGTTTTATTTATCACCATAACAGTCTTAGTCTAAGTTCATTGTGTTAATCGCTAATCATTTCATCGGCTCCAGTTCGTTGTTTTTTTAAATCAAGGAAAACAACACACAGGCCGAGTTTAGCTCTATCATAGCCGAGCCACAGGCTCAGGCATGGCTGCTCTTTTAGCTTCAATGGCCGAGAGGAAAGTGGTGCAGTTTGTTGATATTTCCACCTGTTGAGGTCCCTCGATTTGTCAGTCTTTCATCTGTGCACTTTGTCTAGTCAGAGATAAAATGAATGTCCTACTGGCAGAACAAATGGAAGTGGGCAGTTAATGGGATGCTGATAGAATTGCAAACCCCCAAATTGGCCAGGAATGCTGCCCACTGCTCCCTCAGCTGAAACATACATGTACAGTACTGGTCAAAAGTTTGGACACACAAGATTGAATACATTTTTTTTCATAATCTTAAACGATTAAGGCTGGCTAGAACGGCATCTTACAGGCTTCAAACACTAGAATTTCTGAACAAGTGTTCGAATACTCGTTCTAAGTTTTAAGTACACCCTTAAAAACAACAATAATATTTACATTTCAAAATACAGTCAACTCTAAAATTACCTCTCAAGAAACTGGACAAATATATTCATATAAAATCAGCAACACGTGATGGTTCAAATGTTTTTCAAAACTGTTTGGAGAATTTGCTGACCATTTACCTATTAGAAATCATTCCTACAATAGTGTTGTCTTGTTTAAAGAATAGTGAACTATTTCAAAAACATATAGAGTGAAATAATTTGCAATTTTGCGAAAAAAGGTTTGCGATAAAATTCTTTTCATTTCTCATGCAGTCTACGAACTTTATTGCTCTCTATGACATTTCCCGTTTCACTGATATCTAAATAATCTAAATATGACGTTACACACATGTAAAATAACTGTGATCCATCAGCACAGGTAGAACCAAAGAGTTGTCAATGCAAATGTTACAGAAGGTTGTGGACCTGCACAGATTAGGACATGGTTGTCAATTGAAATTACCATTAAGCACATTTAGGGTGATAATAGAAAAGTTTGAAAGGTATGGAACAGTTGAAAATTTGCCAGGAAGAGGATGCATGAGTATACAAACCCCCCCTCTCCTGACCTTTAATCCAGGGGCTCTTCTAAAAATCAATGGCATAATGAATTCCTCTAAATGCCAAGAGTTAATCCCAAATCTGCCTGCCTCTGCCAAAAGCCCGAAAGCTGGCCATAAGTGGACCTTTTAGCAAGGTAATGACCCCAAACACATCTTAAAAAAGCAGCAGCCCTCCCGGTCTCCAGATGTAAACCCAATTCCAATGGAAAACCTCTGAAGTTTATTAAAGTCCCAGGTGATAATCCAATAAAAACTTACTCCAAATTCTTACTCATTACATCATTTTTATTTAACATATTAATTTTAGCTCATTCTCATGAAGGGTGCCAATAATTCTGGAGTTGTCTGTAAATGCATTAGGCGTCAACAAAGTATTAATAGTGGAGGATGACGCTGTATTTTACTACCAAAGCCATGATTTCGGCCCACTTGTTCAAATACAGATTTTTATCATATTATAGGCAATTTCCTGGGTTGCGTTAGCATCAAGCTAATTCTGCCACACAACTGATTTCCAACACTGGGGTTAATACATGGACATTTGAGAAGTGTAAGACATTCAAGAACTCTTTTTGCTTAATTATTTAGAAAATAAGATGTGAGTCCAACAGGTTAAAGAAATCTGGGTCCTGACTTCATCTACCAGTTCACTCAGGAGTCCATGAAAACAGCTGAACAGTCCACAGCACCATGTTTTTAGTGACCTGATGCATTAAAACAGAATTCAGCGAGTACTTCACTTCAAACACAGCTCAGCCAAACAGGTTTTAGGACCAGAACAATTCATTTTATAATTAAAGCGGAATACATGCCAAAAAGAAAAGCAAAACCCCCACTACACTGTTTTCACATCGCTTGTCCTCTTTTTTATACTTTAAATGTATTTGCCTCATTCAAATGCAACCAAAGCAGTGCACACATGAGATTGTATTTGAAACAGCAACATGTGGAAAACGGCCCAAAATGAAAAGTAAAAAGATCCATTACACTGATTTCCCGTTGTTGAAAGTACTGCAGAGTGGAAAGCAATACAGTTGTGCCTTTATCACATTCCAATTCAGATCGTATTCAATTCTGACACCAATTCAGCACTTTGCTCAAAATGCAAACCCTCATGCACTGCTTTTCAGTAAAGAGGTTTTGTTTTTTGGTCATTTTGGTCTGTGTTCTACATGTCATTATGGGAATGTTGTGTGCCTTGCATTTCACGTTTTTTCACTGTAGACGTGAAATTCTCTCCATAGAATACTCAATCATCACCATTAAAAACAACATTTATGCTTCAAAATATATCCACTATACAGCAACAATGTGTTAATGGTCAGGCTGAGGCCCAGTCGTCGTTCCTAATGTTGCTATATTGTAGTCCCCTTCTTGAATTACAGACCAGAACTATTCGCTTTATAATTAAGGACAGATTCTTCTATGAGTAGGTGTGTCCAAACTTTTCACTTGTACTGTACATGCTTAGATGGACAAGGAAGCTTCCCACAGATTGGAAACAGCACTTCTGATACATGCAATCAATCAAGCATCACTTAAGAGTCGTGGTGTTGTATTAAAAATGTCTAGCAAATTCCAAACAGCTGATCAAGTACATAAACCTCATTTCAGTGCATTAGAGTTAAACCTAGAAGGTTTTTACAGTATTTACAGAAGATAAAGAGGAGATTTCAAGCTGTTGTCACATTTACTCCCCACAGAAGTGATGACTGATAGTTAAAAGGAAGACAGTGGCACACCGTCACTGCTAAAGATCGGGAATTCCTCTTGAAATGAATGCAGAAGTTCCAAAGTGAGTTTGACCGAAGTGTCCTTGGCTGGCTGTATCTGAGGATTAAACCAACATAGGTGGGAAAAACAACCCCCCCCGTTAAAAATGCTTCTCACTGCAGGCTGCCTGTATGCCCCTTCATTTCAAAACAAAGTCCCTGCACTGAAATTCAACTAGATTACAGCTCGCAATGCAGAGGACAAAGTCTTTTCAAAGATCACCTTCAGTCCAGGTAGGAAAAAAAAAAGCAAGGACTTTTAAAAAGAACGAGTGCAGACCATAAACCCACCGCCAATAAAAGTTTAATTAGGCGGACAAATAAAAATAAGAATTCATGAGCGCCAGGCAGGCAGGAAGGGTTGCTCAAGCATTCCAGGAAGGTGGGCAGTACGGTCCCTCAGAAGATGTGTTTGAGGTGTTTGATGCCGTAGGTCTTAAAGAACACCAGCAGGATGAGGGTCCACAGGCCCAGGATGAAGCCGTCAGGAGGATGCCAGTCCTTCTGCTTGGGTTTCTGTGGAGGTCAGGAAGAAGAGGCTGCTTTATTAAACTTCATACTGATCACACCTCATTATATACTAGATGCTGAGACACAGACATGGTGAAAGAACAGAGATATGCAAATGAGAGAGAGAGAGAGAGAGAGAGAGAGAGGAGTGGGGGTGGACAGCAAGCAAGAGACACTAGGGGTAAAACATCAAGGAAGAATGTAAGAAAAAAGTAAAAATTAAAAAAGTAAATAAAGAAAATATAACAGTAGAAGTTGTGAGAAAGGCAAAAAAGATGACAAAAAAATTGTGCATAACATTAAAAATAAAAAAAAGGAAATACAATAGAGGGAAAATAAATAGTGAAAAGAAATTAAAATAAAAATATTAAAATCAAAATGAAGATTAAATAAAACAAAAAGTTAAATAGAAAAATAAAACGAAAAAAAATTAAAAGTGAATAAAAAAGTGAAAAAATGAATGATGAATAAAAATTGAAATAAAATTAGTGAAAAAAGAGAAATAAAATAGAAAATTAAAACTACAGTAAAAAAAAAAAAACTACAGAAGAAGAGAAATACAAGAAAAAACTAATGGAATAACGGGATAAAAACAAAAAGAGGGAAATAAAATAAAGTGAAAAATAAAGAATGAATAAAACAGTGAAAGAAGGGAAAAATTCAATAAATATAGTAATATGTTAATAATATATTGAATAGGGAAAGAATCAAAGAAGAGCGTTGGATGCATGAATGAATAAATAATGAAAAAAATAAAGAGACACATTCCCCAGCCGGTGTTTGCCCATTTACCGCCACATCATCACTTTGTGTATGGATATTATACTTTTAAATCGTCCCCTATTAAACATGCATCACCAGAAGTGCATTTATATGCTAATGTGGTCCAAATATTCTACAGAGAGAGGTTTCACCTCTAAAAAGGAAAAGTCCCCATAACTTTTCCAATTACATTAGAGCCGGGGCGCGAGACCACGTTCTTAAAAGGCTTTCGTGTACACTGTAGGTGACCGCCAGCGTCCGTTAAACTGCGAGTCTTCATTATCTGGCCAAACATAGTGACGCCTGGGGGAGGAAACTGACGGCGACCCAGAAATGTGCCGGCCAGCAGCCGCAAGCTGGCCTGAGGATGCCACCACCCACAGGAGCGTGGAAAGAGGTCAATGCTTTTTACAAATCTTTAAAAAACAGTACAAAGAGAAAACAGCCCTGAGCAACATCCAACACAAGGCACTTTGGACTCGGGCAGACGGCCTTTGGGTTCTTTCTTCTGCGAGTGTCAATGGATTCACAAGTCAACTGCTCCAAGGTCATCAATGCCAGCTGCGCAAACCACTCACCTCTGACAAACTAGCTGGAAAAAACGCCAGCAATGGGAACAAAACATCACTCAACCCTGAGAAGTCGAGTGTTATTAAGTGGTGCAACCGTCTAAGTGTTGCCTCAGCCATCCATGGGAGGCCAAAAGAGCATTACTGTCTTTACTTTCTCTGGATAAGTAGGATGGTCCTATTGCTACCCCATTATTCAGCGTGATGCTAGCCAGTGTAGGTGTCTATTAGCTGATGTAACCAGAGTCAGTTTATGAGGAGCCTGGGGAGCTAAACGGCTAAAAACGGAAAGTTAAAACAGTTTCTAATCGCTCGCCGAGAACTTTTCTTTAATTTTAGAAAGTAGAAGGATGTATTTCATTGAAAAAGCAAAAAAGCTTTAACACAGTTCCTCTAACACAGTTTTAACAATAAATGGTCTTAAACGCTGGAGTTAATGTAGCCTATCACTGCTAATTCACCGAAGATTGGTGCAGAAAAAGTTGGTCACCATGGCAACACAGACAAAAAAGTCACCTAGCTAGAAGCTAACAAAAAAGCAAAGAGAAAGATTTAAGACGGACATTGATAATATGGTGACTCGTTTACATTTACAAGCACTCAGCTTGTAAAATCAGGGTTAAACTGAGATGTTTAATCTGCTACAAGAAACTGTTAAACACCAAAACGTCGTGAAGTCGACGTCTCGTTTACCAGCTTCTTCTTCGAATTTTCCTGTTCCACCTAAATGGTGCCACAGTTACATTCTGGCACCTCAGGCACCATTTAAGGTGGAATGGGACAATTTGAACAAGACGCTGGCGAATGAGAAGCGACTTCAGCCTCATAAAAAGTCCAACAATGAGAGACATTTTACAAGAAACTGTTCCACATTTTTGGAAAAGTTTCCTGCTGGAGATGTGAGAAAAATGGCTTTAGCTGAGCTAAAGCTTAAAGCAGCGCAAAGTTAGTCTGTGTTATTTCTAGCCTGTACTGGTACATTAGCACATACTAGGGGTGCGGGAAAAACTTGATTCTTAGATGCATCGCGATGCGGACGTGAACGATTCTGAATCGATTCATTCAACGTCAAAAATCGATTTTCTAAATATTTAATTTATAACGTAATGTTGACGGAACGCAAAAGGCGGAACTGTAAGTGGGAAAGTGCAGCGCCCGGACAGTCTGTGGCGGCACATAACAAAAACACTACTGGAGGAGCGAGAAATCCGACCGGCTCCCTCTGCATTAAAGCCAGGTTAGGTCAGGAGTCACAACACAAATGATAAGAAGAGCCATTTTGCCTTTCAACGAAGTCAAACCAGCTTGGGAGCCACAACATTTAATGTCCAGTATGTCTCAGTGTGTGTTAATGTCGTAGTATGGGCTAAAAATATAAACGAGAGCGCAGATTTACTTCGCTCTGCTTTAAGCTTTAGCTTTAGCCGCTTTCCTCCCATCTCCGCCAGAAAACCTTTCTTCAAAACTAGAAGAGTTTCTTGTAAAATGTCTCAGCATCCGGCTGTTTTACGAGGCTGAAGTCGCTTCTCATTCGCCAGCTTCTCGTTCTAATTTTCCTGTTCCACCTTAAATTCTGCCTTAGGCGCCGAATGTAACTGCTGCACCATTTAAGGTGGAACGGGAAAATACGAAAGAGAAGCGAGTTCATTTTCGCAACTTTTTAGAGAAAGACAGTCTCTCAGCGGATTTAACCAACCGCGCTGCTTATAAATGCGAATAAGTCCTCCAAATGTTCGTCTTAATCTGTTTTTTCGTTCGCTACTGGCGAGGCCAGACTTCGGGGCTGTGTGACCTGCTGTCTGCTGTCTGTTCTCAGTCGTTGAGAACCAGGGCTTTCGCGCTATGCTGCACACTTTGGAGCCGAGATTCAGCGTCCAGTCTCGAAAACACGCCCCCGACTCTCTACAACGAGACCAAAAGAGTGGCTTACTGCGTACTGCGTGGACACCCATTGCCTCTGGATCTTATTTCAGGGCAACAGCGCATTTTATCGCAGATGAGTGGCAGCAGCGTCTCTGAATGAGAGCCTTCTAGTTCACTTGCCACATCACTTCCATTTGATTTATTAATAAAAGATATTTTGGATAATTAAAGCAAAGTATTTGTAATGATCCGTAATGCATTTACATTATGGATCATTACAAATACTTTGCTTTAAAACTACCAAGTCCTCAGACAGTAGGAAGACAGAAATCATGCATAGAGAATAAAGATGCATCGAGATGCATCGATAATCGTTTTATAATTGCATCACAGCCTCTGAATCGTAATCGAATCGAATCGTGAGGTGCCTAAAGATTCCCACCCCTAGCACATACTGAGACATATTTACAGCCAAGATGGTAAAATGGATATAAAATGTTGTGGCTCCCAAGGTGGTTTGATTTTTGTTGAAAGGACAACATGGCTCTTCTTAATATTTGGGTTGCCGACCCCTGACCTAGACTATATAGGGCAGACAATACAAGCACAATGGCAAACATGCTCCCGTCCCAGTTTTTTTTGGAATGTATTGCAGGCATCATATTTGTAATGAACATATATTTACCAAAAAATTAATAAGTAAATAAAAGTTCAAAAGGTAAAACACCAAATATGCTGTTTTCAGTTTGATACAGGTCAAATAGAATTCGCTCATCACTGCTTTGTTTTATTGGCATCTTATATACTGTCCCAACTTCTTTGGAACTGGGTTGGTCTAACAGTAGGCCATGCTTTTGATGTCGCTGGTGATCACTGTCACTTCTAAGGGTTCACTCTACTTGCTGTGGCCTAAAAACAGACTTCTCAATGAAGGCAATACATATTGGCTGCTATGGAGGGCAGTGGAAGAGGTGCAGCAGAAGCATGTATAGTTAACCGGTGCAGCTGAGAAGGAGTGATGAGTGGAGAGGAAGCCGCACATGGCGAGCCTTCATGCCCGGCTGAGCCAGACGTGATGGAGCGAGTCTGACAGACAGCGCTGTCTACCGGCATGAGCATCCTGACGATTCTGAAATGGGTGCTTCACGCCACTTCACAAAGTCAGCCTTTATGTAACGGAAGCAAAGTCTCACAGAAGTGAGGCTTTATTACAGCGTCTGATAGACTGAAGGGGCTCCTGCTGCATATCGGTTTAGTATAAAACCACCTGCAACAGAGCAGGCCTGAGTGATAAAACCAGAACATTTGCATTCGATTTGTAAAACAATTAGGATGTTCTGTTCCTCAGTCTGGTACCAGCAGCAAAGGCTACACATTCTGCAGTTTAAAGTCAAAGTAAGTTCAGAATTTACGATAACTAAGTTAAATTAAACCAAGGTGAGGTCAACGTTGATTTCACATTGACTTTAATTCAGTGCTGTAAAATTTAATGCGACAAATTAGTGGCACTAATTTCTATTCCTAGTTTGGCCCTTCAAACCATGTGTAGTAGTTCAGGCCGAAGCCCAGCTGTATGCCGCAATTATAGGTTCTGTGATTAAACCCTCCTGTTCGGATACAGCTTTAAAATGGCTTTTAAATTGATACTTTCATTACTTGCTGAAGACCTATGGGTGAATCAATGAGTAGCAAACTAACAAAAGCAACAGCACAGTGGAGCTCCAGTTACCCTTGAAAGCCTCCACTGTAACAAGAATCCACAAGCTAATGAACATTGCAACAGTGAGACACTACAATAGCTGAACCACTGGC